ATTAGGATGTACATCCTATTAGCCGTCATGTTACTTTGAAGAATGAGGCCTTTCGAGGGATGGTAGATGCGACACTCATTGTCTTTGATCACAAATGCCAAGCCCTTTTCTTGAAGTTGCCCAATGCTGAGTAAGTTGTTCCTCAGTTTAGGGACATAAAATACATCTCCAACAACATGGTTTGCTCCTTCAAAATTCAGTCTCACACTGCCCCTGCCAACCACCTTCATCTTCATGTGATTTCCCAAACTCACGTCTCGTTTGAAGCCTTCCTCCATGGTGCAGAAGAGAGAGGCATCTCCACACATGTGATTGCTACACCCACTGTCTAAGAACCACACATCCTGACTCTTTGCTTCAGCAGCTTCAAAGTATGCCATAAGAAGCATTTCTTCATCTTCATTCATTTCAACATAGTTGACTTGTTTCTCCAATTTGGGACATTCATATTGAAAGTGTCCCAATTGATGACAACGATAGCATTCAATGGTTGCTTTATTGTAATTTTGACGCCCCCGACCACGTCCTCTTCCTCCTCTAAAGGAATTTCTTCCTCGCGCCTCGACTGCTACCACACTCATTGTAAGACACTGCTAATGCTTGCTCCTCGTCGGGTTCTTTCTTGAACTTTTATTCATGGACTAAGAGAGAACTTTGTAGGGCATCTACTGAAAGTTCATCAATATCCTTAGCTTCCTCGATGGAACACACTATATAGTTCCACTTCTCTGTCAATGTCCGCAGAATTTTCTCGATAATTTTGACATCATCCATGTCTTCTCCGCAATTCCGCATGTCATTAGCAATGACCATTACCCTGCCAAAGTAATCATTGATTAATTCACCTGGTTTCATGGCCAAGACCTCGAACTCCCTTCGAAGTCGGTTAAGCTGAGCACGTTGAACTCGAGCATTCCCCTGATATTTCATCTTCATCGAATCCCATAACTGTTTGAATGTCTCCTTCTTTGTTATGGTTTTTAGAATTGATTTGTCCAGAGACTGAAACAAATAATTATTTGCCTTTAGATCTTTGAGTTTCATCTCGTCAAGACTCTTCTTCTGGGCATCTGTCTGAACAACATCTTTGTTGGGCAGAGTATAGCCTGTCTCCACCACGCTCCAATATTCTCTTGATCGGAGGAGGTTTTCCATGACCATACTCCAGTGGTCAAAATCCCCATCGAGTTTGGGAATTGACGATGTTGAGAAACCACCACTTTTCTCCTCAGATCCCATGTTGTTTTTAGGGCTCTCTTGTGTTTCTCTCACAGACACTCGTTGGTGTTCTTCAATACTCAATCTCTCAAGCTCTGATGCCAGATGTTAACAATTGTAGTATTCGGGAAACTGAGTTGTTTTATTGATAGGAAACATGGCTTATAAATAGCCTTACAAATGAAACTGTAAAAGAAACTGAATGCACTAGAAAGTGCCTAATAAAACGGATAGAAAGTGCCTAGAAAATCGAAAAAAACAAATCCTATAAACTAGGACAACCTAAATTGAATCCCATGATCCTCCCACGACCATAACAGTTTGACTTATTCAAATATCATAGCATAAGCTGAATTTACTCTAACAATTGAATGGTTCATATGAAGTCTTGATAAGTAGTATTTTTAATGATTTTTAAGATAGTTTCATCCCTTTATCTAGTACTTTTGTTTTGTTTTGCTTCCATTTCCTTTTTATCTTTATGTTTCAAGAGTTTCTAAGGTTTTAAGTCATGATCTAGTGGAAAGAAGCTAAGCCAGAAAAGACTGCATGAAGATACCTGAAAACTGAACAAGAAAGCACTTGAACTGCGAAAACCAGGGGGCTTTACAGCTTAGCCGCAATGTTCATTGCAATCATAATGTCCCCATAACCATATCATAAAAAAGTGGCATTTTAAGGCACAAGGCTGAGGTAATTATGACCTTTTAAATTTTCAATGTTTTTATTTTATTTTATTATTGTCCTTTCCACTTCCGAGTATGTTAAATTTTGATATAAAGCTTCTCTAAACACAATTTATTTCCCTCTTTATGGGATTAAAAGGCTATAAAAAGACCTTGTAAGCTCTGATTAGACATACTCTAGAATTTAGTTTATTGCATTTTTAAATTTTCTGCATTTTACATTTTATGCAAAGTCTTCATTGGAGCAAAAACACACTGTTATAATTTCAGTTTATAATTCAGGTTCTTATTTCATTATTTCTTTATTGTTTATCTACTTTTACTTATTTATATGTCTATGATTTTATGAATAATCATACTTGATTTTATCTATAATATTTGTGACGAGTCTTATCGTAGACTTCGAATCCTGAGGGTTGTTTAAACAAAAGACCTCATGTTAAATCTTAAATTGATTTATGTTATTAGAACCAAATGTTATTGCTTTGATCTTTTAGGACTTAATGCATTTATCTATATTAAATTAGAGAAAGCCTTATATATTATTTGTATACTTAAAGGGTTTGACAGATATCCAAACCTTAGATAGCCTTAGATGTTAGACATTTAAACCAAGACTATAAAGGTATATATGGTTTAACTGATAAAGTTCCTTTCAAAATATCTTTTCTTAAAGGATCTTGCATATATGAATTATGCTACGAAAGTAAGTGATTCATTAGTTCAAGACAATATCATACACTACTGAAAAGAGGTATGATCATTTTTATCCATTTCATTTATACAAAACATGAATTCTCATAAAGGAATGATAAACGAGAGTTTTAAATGAGTAAAACAAATTGTCTCAAAACTCTGTTTGAAAAACTATTTTTACAAGCTAATTTTTATGCACTTAACGAATGTCTTTACAAAAGTAGAGGTAACTTCAGATATCAACTGACAGATTGAAAGTTTTAAGTTGACATCCAAACTTAAAAACTAGATGAATAGGCTGACACATAAATATAGTGTAGACCTATTTCAAGAAGGCACATACAAATGCAAATAGTGGTTATTTACTAGTTATGTCACTGAACAAAATCATGAAAATATGGGGTTCAGTGACTTAGGACAAAATGTATGCTTTGAAAGAAGATACGACCTAATCACTTTTCTATTATTTATTTAAAATTTAAAATTTTTCCAAAACAGAGTTAAGACCGCTGCTTTATTTAATATGTCTGAAAGACGAGAATCATGATTCTAGGTTTACTCTTTTATTTAATTTCTAAATTGAATAAAAAGCATTTCAAAACAAATACACATTGTTTTATTCAATTACGAAATACGCAAATTCGGTCTCTAACAATCTCTGACGGAACGATAATTTTTACTACTCTGATAGAACCGTATGCTTGCGGCCTATCAAATCTCAAATTTTTAATTAGACTTTAGTGCACTGAAGTGAGCCTAGGAGATTCGTCTCTCTACTCTGCGCACATGAGGTATATGTGGAGGTTTTCCCTACATCAACAGTTTGTGATCATGAAAAGCATTAAATGTGCATGTTTCTCATGCCAACTACCACTCAGTGCCATAATAGAGTTCTCTCTTCCCGCAATATATTTTCAACAATAAATCCCCCCAAGGTATGTATTCCTTGGTCGACCTTACTAATTTAGGTATCAAAAATCCTCGCTTCAAAGTTGATAGCAAGGACTTGAGAGACAACTATTTCGGCCTAACCAAAAATCCAATAAAATCAGCCTAATACATATGCCCAATCCAACAAGGACACAACTATCATTGACATACAGATGGACCTTCTTTCTTAGACACAAGATACAAACATGGTCTCCCTTTCATCCCTATCATTGATCTATATCCAACGGTCACCTACACTTCATATTGGATACACCGAAACTATTTTAATTGTCTCCTCTATATGAGCACGACCTTAAATCACGCCAAGGTAATTTTTCCACACACTTGCAAAATTCACCTCATTCAGACACTCACTTGAATGTTGGAGTGCTAACATTTTGCAGGTACCACCTAGGATCATCAATGAACCCTAATCATTGTATCGCAATGGATTGTCTTTAACATTTCACCTATTTTTGTTCCAAAACATAATACTTGTGTTCTAAGTCGAGTGCTTTTCATAGTATGTTTGGTCTGATTGAAATATTTTTTTTGAGTGAGAAATATTTGGGTGGCTAACATGAATCAATAGCATACACAGTAGAGATGACAATGACTATACATGAATGTGAGTTTTAGTCTAATAATACTTGTCCATCTCGTTGAATAAATATGATATATATATCACTTCCTCATATCAACATGTGTGTTATCGTGTATTATCTCATAGATAATATGTGAATTTTATAATATACGCAAATTATTATTCATTAAAGTTTAATCACGGAACGAATATCCATCGAAAAATCTATAATAAACATATTTTTTTTGCCGATATAAAGTCAAAATCTATTGGAAAAACAGTAGAAAAACAAAAGTATTTTTGTTAGTGTCTTTGAACTAGTTTTACTCAATCAACGGAAAGACAAACCGAAACTCAAGGGTGGCGTGTGGTTCGATTTGTGTAATTTGGAAGCAAGAACCATTGATTTCATATAATCGGTTCCTCCTAATCATTAACCAAACAAGAAGAGATGTGTAAGTATCTATGAGCTAAGATAGAGACATGAGTTGATTATTGATAACACATTCTTATATGCTAGCTCTTTCTAGTAACATCTATACAATTCATTCTTTCACCTCAACACACCTTCCACTTTTACCTCTTCAAAAAAAACACCTCATTTCAAACATTTTCCTTTGACCAAAAGAAAAACACTTTCGCTCCAAGTATAAGATATTAAAAATAATGTAACAAATTATATTATACTCCTATATACGCTTTGAAAAAAAAAATGTTTTAAATTGAAAACGTGTGGAGTGTGAGCAATTGGTTAGAAACCTTGTAATTTGAGACTAACATGAAGGGCAATATAGTCATAAAATAGAGTATATATACTACTAATCATCCACTTTGTCAAGACAACTAATCACAACGTTGTTCTTTCTGTTTTTCCAAAGCCGTCAAACATGGAACATTTCATGAAACTCTTTGATTCTTTCTGGTTTGAGATTAATATTTTGAACATAAACACAGCTTCATCAATAACATCAACAAGTTTAGAAGAAAATCTAAAAGATTGTCAGAAAAATGAAACACCGTCTGCAGAAGAAGAACCAAAACTCACTCGGATCCGAACTGTTCATAACAGATCCATGAGTGACCAATCTATAACAAGTTTCAATCATGATTCTCTTTCTCCAGATTCTGTTCTCATTCCTTCAAAGCTTCAAACAATTTTCTCAGGAAAAGAAGTAACAGACTCAGAAGACAAAAACCTAGTACCAACACAAACGTTGTTGTTGCCTAAAGAGAACAGCATCAACAAGGTTGTTAAGAAGAAAAGGGAAAGTAAGAGTTTATCGGACCTTGAATTCGAGGAGCTAAAAGGGTTCATGGATCTGGGTTTTGTTTTCTCAGAAGAAGATAAAGATTCAAACTTGGTTTCAATTATTCCTGGGCTACAAAGATTTGGGAAGAAAGATGAAGAACAAGAAGAAGATGATGTTAGTGATGAGTCTGTGATTCAAAGACCTTATCTTTCTGAAGCTTGGGAGGTTCATGAGAGAAAAAAAGAGAAGGCTTTGATGAAATGGAAAGCTCCTGCTATGAAGAATGAAATTGATATGAAAAATAGTCTCAGATTGTGGGCACACAATGTTGCTTCTACAGTTAGATGAGAATTGAGATGATGCTGTTGTTCATAGTTCATAAAAAAAATATTTTGTTTCTTTAATATTCTTTTTGCTAAATGATATCTTTGGAATTGTTTGGTTTATAGTTTTAGGATAATGCAACATTTTTCTGTGGTTATTGGTTGTCAATTTTTTTCTGGAATTTTGGATTCCAGTGTAATTTGTAATTTTTGACAGAATGGAATGAAATTTAATTCAGTGTTTGAGATCTCTTTGTTCAATCTGCAAGTTTTAGGTAATCTACGTTGTGGTGGATTGAATATGGCATCTAATAGATTGAGAAACCAAAAAGAAATGGTTTTCTTGCATTTTTCTACAACTACAACCTTAGTAAATACTCTATTGTAAACGTTATAAATTGTGTTTTAAACTATAAATTTATACCCATATATATATATATATATATATATATATATATATATATATATATATATATATATATATATATATATATATATATATATATATATATATATATATATATATATATATATATATATATATATATATATATATATATATAATAATTAGTTTTTTTTTTATATAAGCAAACTGAATATATTAAAATGAGCATAAGAGGTGCTCAACCCGTATCAAAGCATGAAATCACCAAAAGAATGGATAAAGAAACAACAATAAAAGTTATTATCCGACTAATTAGAATGATGAATTGTTTTGTCACACCAACGGATCAATAACAATCCGACCACTAAATTTTGCAAAAAGCCACTTCCAAGACAAAAGTTTAATGATCCTCAACATGTTCATCTCCTTCAATCTCCCTTCTTCAAAAATGATAGAATTCTCAGATGTCCACAATATCCAACAGGTTACTAGCCACAAACAACAATGAAAGTCAACTTTGAAGTTGTTTGAACAAAGACTCTTAAAATGCAAAATCAAAGAATCCAATGAATTCTTCTCCCCACATAACTCTAGTCCAAGCCATCCACAAAGACCTTCCCAAATCAAATGCACCATATCACAATAATAGAGGTGATGGAATAGAGTTTCGTCGGCATTAAAACAAAACAAGCAAATAGAATTATATAAACTAATACCTCTTAATAAATTTTGCTTTGTGGGCAACCTGGCCAACAAACATCTCCATCCGAAAAATTGAATTTTACTCGGCGCCTTCGATTTTTAAATGTCTGACAACCCTTTAAGAATCAAAGCTTCCGTCACAGTCACCTTCGTATTGTTCGCCACTAAGTGTAAGTAATAACTTATTGTCGAGAAACCTTTGGAATCTAAATTCCAAACAAACGTATCTTCTCCCAAGATCTTCGGTTGCACATTAACTAAAAGCTGTTGTAACTTCAAGAGTTGTTCTAACACCAGAACCGAAACAAAACTGGATACGGTCGAAAAATTCCACTCCCAATTCTATCATTTCCAAGCACCCATAAACGAGATGGTTATCGAACCTGTTGCACAGCTGCTGTACAAGTCTGGGAATGCAATAACAACTGGTAACAAGCCAATCCATGTCTGCTGCCAGAAGTCAATTATTTTCCCATCTCTAACTTTCCTGCGAATGGCCTTGTTGGACCAATTTATTTCTGAATCGAATACCATTCTAATACCAATTATGTCTCTCCACCACAATTATTGTTTTCTCATTACCGCATTCGAAACACAAAAATTAGAAAGAATGTTGAAATTCAGATTTCCGTCCCTTTCCTTTAATAGCCCATATCACAGATTATTTTTCTCTTTCAATATCCGCCATAATCATTTACTAAAAAGTTCAATGTTAAATCTCCCGACATGTTTGACCCCGAGTATGCCTTCATTTTTAGACTTACATATGTCGTCCCATCGTATCCAACAAACCTTATTTACTTCCTCAACTCCTCCCCATCAAAAAATTTGTTGAACAGATATCAACTCTTGCACAACGACTTTTGGATCCTTGAAGAAAGAAAGAAAATAAACTAGAATATTAGTCAAAACCGCACTCAATACTGTAACTCTTCCGGCCAATGATAGGGATTTGTTATGCCACTCTGAAAGCCTCCACCGCATCTTTGTAATAATGGGATTCCAAGTGATCTTCATACGATGATTAGCTCCAATCGGCAATCCCAAAAACAAAAATGGTATGGTTCAAACTTTACACACAAGAAAAGTGGCAGCAGCCTGCAAAACATTTGTAGAAATATTCACACCAAAAACCCAACTTTTGTTCAAATTAAGGCTTAGACCGGACACTGATTAAAAACCTATAAGGATAGCTTTCAAACCCCAAAGGTTTTCTCACTTTCCGTCGCATAATACCACCGTGTCGCCTACAAACTGCAGCAACTCGAAGTAGACCGTCTCACCCACCCTGACACCATTAAACTGTCCCAAATTTACAACATTATGCATCATCCTCGTTAACCCTTCAGTAGCAATTAGAAAAATAAAGGGAGAGAGCGGATCATCTTGGAGAATCCCTCTACGTACCACAAAATCCTCTAATGGACTACCATTTATAAGGATCGACATAGTGCTGTTGAAAATCAAATTGTTCATCCAAAGTAACCATCTAGAACCAAATCACATTCACCCTAAAATGTTTCTCAAGTAATCCCACGACACGCAATCATAAGCCTTCACAAAAGCGACCTTCATTATTAAACTTTCCTCCTTTCTCCACCTTGAAAAATCCAGCACCTCATTCACCACAAGAATACCATCAAGCATTTGCCTTCTTGCCAAGAACGTTGCTTGAGTTTTCAAAATCAAATTATTCATAACCTTTTTGAGTCTATTAGCCAAAATCTTGAACAATATCCTAAAAAGGCTACAAATTAGGCATATTGGTCTAAAATCATCGATCTCTTGAGGGTTATCTTCTTTCGGCACAAGAGCAAGAAACAAAGTCATTATTGCCTTTGGCACCCTACCACACTCATTGAACTCATTAGCAAATCTGAAAAGATCGACTTTAAGGAACTCCCAGCAAACTTTAAGGAATCTCAAATTGAACCCGTCCGGACCTGAACTTTTATCTCTATCACCACTCTAAACCACTTCTTTAATATCTTCCAAGGTAAACGGATTTTCAAGCAACACTTTATCCTACAAAGAAAGTTGTCTAAACAACACACCATCTAACTTTGGACGAGCATTGATTTTGTCATGAAAATTTTATATTTAGAGACTTATAATAGAGCATATTCATTCATTTTAAATAGGATATGGATGCTAATGAGTAGGATTTGGGTAGAGTATTATAGTATTTATTCCTACACCTGCAGTTTGAAAAAATTCATGTATTCGATTCTATATTTGCGTGGACACTAATCTTTATACTTGTACCCATACTCTATGAGTTTCCAAGTACTTGTACCCATACTTGTTACTCGTAGTTTTAGTAAAAATAAATCTATCAATTAAAAAATATCATATCTTTTTAAAATTAAAAAAAAAATCAAAGATTTTATTGTTGAATTATAAAATATACAAACACTTATATTAAAATGTTTAATAGTTTAATTATAATGTATTTTCTTAAAGAGATATACATATATTTTTTATATGATGATATAAATTAAAATATATAAATATACATTGTACATGTATAGGTTAGAGTGGGTACTAATATATATGTATTTGCACCCATACTCAATTATTTTAATGATTAATTACCCATACGTTTTGCAGGGTTTTTATATTGTCTGTCGTGAGTATTTTTTGCGGATGTCTATTGGGTATGAGTATAAGTGTCATCCCTAATTCGAAGTGATATACGTTTATCATTTTTATATTAAGAAATGTAATAGTTTATAAAAAAAATAGGCAAAATATCCTTTTTGATCCCTTAACTATACATCGGGGTTCATTTTGGTCCCTTAACTTTAAAAAGTTCCATATTGGTCCCTTAACTCTTCAAACGTTCCATATTAGTCCTTTTTAACCTATTAGCGACGGAAAAAAAATCAAAAAACCGTCGCTAAATTCGTCGCTAATAGGTCAAAAAGGACTAATATGGAACATTTGAAGAGTTAAGGGACCAATATGGAACTTTTTAAAGTTAAGGGACCAAAATGAACACCAAGGTATAGTTAAGGGACCAAAAAGGATATTTTGCCAAAAAAATACTATATTTATACTAAAATTAATTTTAATTTAAATCACAATTTTGGTCTTTCAATTTCACATGATTCACAGAATTAATACTCCAATTTTAAATTCAAATAGTTCTAATTTTTTTTCTCACTTTTTTTTATAGGAAATTGTTGAGATGTTTATTTTTTAATTTATATTTTCATATATAAAATTCCATAATAAATTTATATTTGATGATTTGTCATATTTCATTAGAGATCTTTCATTTAAAAAAAAATAAAATACCATTGATTTAAGTGTAAAATTATAAGAGAGGGATCAAAATTGCGTAAATTTAAAATAGAGATATCAATTTTATAAATGAGATAAAATAAGAAGATAAAAATTATAATTAAACCTTAATTTTATTATCATAATAATTAAATGATACAATTAAAAAAAAACTATATATTTATTTTAAAAGGTAAAAATGATATTTTCAAATAAAATTTTAATTTACTAAAAGGACATTAATTTAAAAATAGGAGAGTCACATGAATTTTTTAAATATAACTTAAATAAAATATGGCATCATTATTAATATTTTTTTTTTATTTTTTAGATCACATCTATCTCCTAGTTTCATAAATGTTATTTTCATTTTCTTATAATATAAATTTAATTATATATAAAAATCATCATTAATATGTGATACTTTTTTATTAGAGCATAAATAATGTATAACTTATATAAATACCTCATCCGTGTTTTAAAATCATTGGATATTTCACATGTATTAAGAAAAATAATCATTGTTGCTATAAAGTTACAATGAAAGGGGTTATTAAAGATGTGGCACGATATATTAATGACTTTCAATTTGGGTTAGGGTATTGGATGGTGCTGAGACTATTTTGCACAGTGTCAACAACATGGTGTGCAAG